CCTGCCTCTGAGGAGGGGCTGCCCTCTAGGCCTTAATGCCCCTCCCAAATGCCCATATCATGCCTAGCCTGTCTGTGGGAGGGGTTCCCTGGACCTTGCTTCTGTGAAGGAGTGGCAAGAGTGTAAATATTTATGATTTTTATACTTGTGTGGAGCTGAGGCGGTGCAGCAGTTTTTCATGGTGACAGATGTATATTTTGATAACAACTACAGGCTCAGTATTGTCCTGGGGCCAGCCCTGACCACATTCCATCCAGTCCCAGATGGTGTTTTGGGGAGTTTCCATTAAAGCAGTTTTCTAACCTGTGCCTTCCCTGAGCCCTTCATTCTGAGCTGTAGAGGTATCAGCCGGGCTGGGCCTGGACTCAATAAACAAACGCCTGTGTCTTGCACGTCTGCCTGTCTTTGGGCGTTGGGGACGGAGGGCTTGGGGTCTTTAGTTACACATGGAATACAAGTGTCAGGGTGGAGAGGTCCAGGCATCCTGGACACCCTTACCACCAGAGTCTTCCCACTTATGCTTAAGGACCATCTGGACCACAGGATATCGTTACCATCAGCCTTTTTATTGGTGCTGTAGGTGCTCCCGCCCTCGCACTGAGGTCTGTGCCAGGCTTAGTCTTGGTATCTGCGGGCCTGCATCCTCCTGTAGTAACTCTCTGCCTCTGCCTCCATTTCCCGATCCCCCAGCCCACCCACCTGGCGTCTCAGAGTGGATTCCCGGCTGCCAGCACCCAGGGCCCCTTCACTTGCACCTGGTGGGGGCAGGCCCTCCCCAGTGGCTAGGTTGACGGTAGCAACAGCCCCAAAACGAGGTTCCTCCTGGTCCACATCGCTGACTGGAGACCCTGGGCCCATGCCAGGTTGTTTGCAGCTGCTTCGGAAGCCACGCGCCAGGTCTCCCAGCTCGTAAGAGCCGTCCCCCTCTACCACCTTGGCCTTCCACTCCCATGGTGTGCTGCCTGAGGACAGGCGCACCACTGGGTGGTGTGGGGCATGTGCGTCAATAGTGACAATGCTGGCAGAGTCACGGTCGGATGGGGAACGGTACTGTGAGGAGTCGGAGCTGGCACTGGACGATGAGGCTGTCTCTGCCTTGGGGCCCCCTGCTGCCTTGGACATGGCAATGACCTGCAGTAGCCTAGGTGGGTTGGCCACCAGTGGCTGGGAGGGAGCCACAGCCACTGGGGCCCCACCCTTCTCAGCCATTGACAGCCACTTAGCCCGCACGGAGGAGCTGCTCTTGGGTGACAAGCCAGCTCCAACCTGTACTCCTTCCTCAGGGATGTGCACAAGGGGTTGGGGCCCTGGCCTTGGAGGCAAGATGACTCGGGGCCCAAGCCCTGGCCGAGCCTGGACAGTAGGATAGAGTGAAGGTGGCACGTGCTCTTCCTCTTCTTCTTCCTCTTCCTCCTCCTCTTCCTCCTCCTCTTCCTCTGCCATGGGTTCTGCTGGGGCCCGCAGGTGCACAGGGCTACCTTCATCCGGCAGCCCCAGGCCACGGCCCTCCAGAGATTTCTGCTTCCACTCACTGATGAGCTGCTTGGAACGGGAGGCATCAAGGGGTACGTGGATGGTCATGTGGCGCCTGGCAGGGTCGTCCAGTGAAGGTGTGCTGACACGGGGCAGTGTGTTGCTGAAGGTGACCATGCCCTCCTTGCCCATGGGGCTGCGGGGGGCCAGCAGGTCCACATCCACGCTGGCCCGCTTGAGGCTGCCCAGAGATGTTTTCTCTCGAGCCACAGGCCGTGGCACACCCTCCAACCTCCCGGGAGGACCCAGCTCATCTGTGCTGACAGACTTGTTCTGCTGACACATGGACTCATGGCCCCGTTGTGTCAGCACTCGCAGGGTGTCCTTGGCAGGAGCTGGCATAGACACCTTCTCTGAAGGTGGTGCCTGGAAGTTGCCCACTGCATGGCAGGCCTAGGGATGAGAAGGACTCCCATGAGGCTGACTATCCAGCAGGGGAAAGTGCCGGCCGGCCACAGGGAGGCACCAGCATTCTATGGCTGATGGGAGCATGCAGAATTTGGGAGAAGCCTTCCTCCCTCAGACCACAGGCGCCTACTACTCAACCTCCCTGCTCAAATCCCATTGGTGGCCAGCCAGCCTCCTCCCTCAGACCTCTTCCTTGTTAACCCCACCCTCACCAAATAGGCAGCGATGCCAGCACCAATGAGAAAGCCAGCATAGACATCCACAGGGTGACTGCGGTACTGGGTGATCTGCGTGAGGCCACAGACGCCGGCAGCAATGGCAAAGGCGAACACAAGGATGGGCTTCAGAAGTTTCGTAGTATCCGAGATGACTGAATTGAAGTACATCTGGGCCAACAGGTAGGCAGGGTCAGGTTGTAGCTACTGCCCACGGAAGGGCATAAGTTACAGCATTGGGGGTTATCACTTACCGACACATAAACAGCAGCAAAGGCTGACAGAGTGGCATGCTGGGACGGGAAGGTCTTCCTACAAGAGGCATAGTGTCAGCCCTGCTGGTCGGGGGTCAGCCTGTTTCCCCAAGGTTACTAGAGTAGGAGATTATGATAGTCCCACTGCAGGGCTTGGGGATCTGGCTCACCGTGCTGACAGGATGGCGTGGGTATCGTGGCCAGAACAGATATCCTGAGTGATGTAAGGGTTCGCTTCACAGGAAGTACCCAGCAGAGTGTAATTGGGCTTGCAGACAGTTAGGAAGAAAGGCGTATGGTAGCCAGTGGCCAGCTGGATGACGTCCGTCACCAGAGCCGTGGCACACAGGCCAAACACGTGCACACCTGAGGGCGAGAGGGCCAGGCCAGGGGAAGGAAGCAAAGGACTAGGGTGTTCCCACAAAGCCATTCACTCTGTAACCCACCTACCCCCACCCCCACCCCCCGTGAATGGGCATGAAGGCAGGATCGGGAAGCCTCACAGTCACTCACCTACAAAGCGCACTGTGCGACGGAGGAAGGAGTTGAAGTTGCAGCCACCTGCGTTGATGCTGCCTTCTGTGCCCCCTGGGCCACGGCCCCACAGCCGGGACTGCAGGCAGTAGACCATGCCCTCGCCTACCATGATCTGGCCCCCCAGGGAGAGGCAGGTCAGGTGGGGTCACAGTGAGGGACCCAAGCACCCGGGGCCATGACACTACTCACAGAGGCTGCAGGTGCTGCGAAGGCTAGACTCAGGAGCATGAGCAGTGGGATCAGTTCCTCATTGGTCTCCACATAGGGCATGGACAGTGAGCGGTCATAGCACTGGAATCCCACCTTGGCTGGCTTGAACAGGTCAGTCAGCTCCAGGAAGTATAAGGACACAATGGAAGAAGCCACGATAGGCAGCTTGTGGGGGCAGATGATGGTCCAGGTCACTGACTATCCCACCATAGCCTTAGCATGACAGATTCACACACATTTCTGTAGCCCAGCTACGCAGCAAGTGAGAAGAGCCATTCCATACTCATGAAATGGTTCAGCCATACAAGGGCTTCCTCAACATTCAGATCCATCTGACATCCACTCACCCACCCACCTACCCACCCACCCATCCATCCACCCACCCACATACACAGATAATGCATATACTTCTACTTCTCTCTCCAGCCTCCCTGGTTTCTGCTCCTAGCCCTCTCCTTTCCAGTCCTTCTTAACCAGGCTTAGTCAGCCCTGTTTGCCAACCCTTCCTCGGAGCAGCTTCCCTAGTGGCATTTCCCTGCCCCTTCTCATCACTCATCCAATGCAGCCTCAAATGGCATGCAGTGTGTGGCTAGTGCTAAGGTCCCTCCTGCACTCATGCCTGAGTCCTCTACCAACCAGGCATGTCCCCACCACCTGGAGTTGATGCCAGTGTCACTACTCCCTTCCAAAGTTTAAGGAGCCATGGCTCTTGAAAGCCCATGGGGCTCAGGCAGTGAAGGGATCTGTAAAAGTAGATTGAGGGACAGGGCTGGCAAGATGGCTCAGAGGTTAAGAGCACCAGCTGCTCTTCCAGAGGTCCTGAGTTCAATTCCCAGCAACCACATGGCGGCTCACAACCATCTCTAATGAGATCTCTAATGAGATCTGGTGCCCTCTTCTGGCATTCAGGCACAAATGCAGGCAGAACACTGTATACATAATAAATAAATAAATCTTAAAAAAAAAAAAAAACTTGAAAAAAAAGTAGATTGAGGGAGCTGCCTTAATGTCAAAGGAGCATCTAATTTATTTATTCATTTATAGAGCATCTCACGTCCCAGGCTGGCCTTAAACTCATGATGTAGCTGAGGATGACCCTGAACTGTTTCTCCTGCCTCTACCTCCTGAGTGCTGAGTGACAGTATGGGCAGTCACCCTCAGGTTAAGGAGCATTTATTGATCTCCAATTGTACAAAGAGTCTGAGGCAGAGGAATGAAATGGGTGACATCTGCCTGGGGTCACTTGTATGCCCCAGCAGTAAAAATGTGGTGTACCCAGCACTCAGGAGACACAGTCAGGTGGATCTCTGAGTTCAAGGTCAACCTGGTCTATGGAGCAAGTTCCAGGACATCCAGGGCTGTTACACAGAGAAATCTTGTCTCAAAAAACAACTGTGTGCTGCCGCCTTTAATCCCAGCACTCGGGAGGCAGAGGCAGGCGGGTCTGAGTTTGAGACCAGCCTGGTCTACAAGAGCTAGTTCCAGGCCTCCAAAGCCATAGGGAAACCCTGCCTGGGAAAAACCAAAAAAAAAAAGAAAAAAAAAAAAGAAAAAAAAAGAAGTGTGTGTGTGTGTGTGTGACAGACAGAGAGAGAGAGAGAGAGAGAGAGAGCACCAAGGGCTGGGAAGATATTCTAACAGTTAAGAGTGTTGCCTGCTTTCCCAGAGGATCCGGGTTCAATTCCCAGCATCCACAGCCTTAGGTAATTCTAATCCCAGGGGTTTCTATGTCCTTCTGGCCTCCACGGGCGGGCTTCTGCATGTGTGTAGTGCTCCTAGTGAACAGCCATAAACATAAATAAAAATTCCATAGTCAGGATGAGGTGGTGGTGGTGGTGGTGGTGGTGCGCACCTTTAGTCCCAGCACCTGGGAGACAGAGGCAAAGTCAGGGCTACACGCTGAAACCCTGTTTCAGTAAATAAATAAATATTGGAGCTGGGCTCAGTGAAGTACTAGTCTTGCAAGCAGGAAGTCCCAGCACTGAGCAGGAGGATCAGGAGTTCGAGGCCAGCTTCAGCTACATAGAAAATCTGAGGCCAGTCTGGGCTACTTGAGACCATGATGGCTCAGGTTAAAAATGTGTTGTTGCATTTGTTCATACACAACACACAACACACACACACACACACCCATGTAAAGATGTGTTGCTGTTCCACCCTGCCTGCCTAAGGCACATGATTGATCTAATAAAAAGCTGAACAGCCAATAACTAGACAGTAGAGAGACAGGCAGAGCTGGCAGGCAGAGAGAATAAACAGGAGGAGAGCAAAGGAGAGAGGTGAGAATTCGGGAAAAGACAGGGAGATGCTGGGGACCAGACAGACAAACATGGAGAGGGACACAAAGAAAGGTAGAGAGTCCCAAAGCAACATAGATGAAGATAAACAGGTTAGATTAAGTTATAAGAGCTAGCTGGAAGCCAGGCGTTGGTGGCACATGCCTTTAATCCCAGCACTCAGGAGGCAGAGGCAGGCGGATTTCTGTGAGTTCGAGGCCAGCCTGGTCTCCACAGCGAGTTCCAGGATAGGCTCCAAAGCTACACAGAGAAACACTGTCTCGGAAAAAAAAGAAAAAGAGAAAGACCTAGTGTAATAAGCATAACATAAGGCCAAGCATACATAATTATGTCTCCACTGTGTCATCATTTGGGAGCTGGTTGGTGGCTGAAAAGAAAGCCTGTTACACTCAATATAAAGCTGCTGACCACACATACAGGACTGTTCCACTTTGTCCTGTCTTTCAGTGTTCAGTGAGTTACATGAAGAGTGTGCCCCATAGTTTTAAAACACCACATACAGGGTGATACGCCCACCAGGTTGGGTAGTAGGCTGTGTCAGGTGAGGTAATAAACTCTTGACCTCCTACTCTCCCTTCCCCTGTTTCTTTCTGATACAGGGTCTCTCTGTGAGTGTTGGGATTAAAGGCCTGTGCCACCATAGCCCCGCTATTCTCCTTCATTTACTACTCTTTATTTTTGGGTGACGAAGTCAGAGGGCTACTGTGGGAATCATCCTAGCTTTGCATTGTACCGGTCCTGGGGACAGAACTCAGGGTGTCAGGCTTGCCAGCAGAAGCCTTTACCACAGCAGCTGCCCTCTTAGCCCCCAAATGCCCTTTCCACACAGGGTTTTCCATTTGCAGGGTTTGTTGCAGCCACAGTGCCAAGGGAAGGCGACAAGCATTTGTACTGAACGTAAAGCAACAGCTGAGTAAAGACAGCCTTAGGCCCACGCTTTGGTTAAGATCTGCTGCTCACATGGGATACTGGTGCCAATGTGGGCAAACACAGCAGGGCTGTGAAACGCGGCACTTCCCTCTGCCTGTTGCCCTAGCGCTTGGGAGGCTGTGGCAGGAGAATGGTTCCGAGTTCTGGATCAACCTGGGCTACTTAAAGAGAACCAGCTTCAATAGAAATGAAACAGAGTAGCCCTTTTCCCAACCTCCATTCTAGGGTCCTCAGCCTGCCCCCTCCAGTGGGGGAAACAATGCAGGCTTGTCCAGGTCTGTGAGATAACGAAGGTTCAGAAACAAGGTAGTGTCCTGGTGTGTGTGGGGGGGTGGAGTACTACCCAGCAGGGAAAAGGGTCGGGGCACCTTGTGAGCATTGCTAAGTCAAGTTCCCTCTGGACAAAGAACCTTGTATAGGGCCAGCAGGATGGCTGGGAAGTGCTTGCTGCTAAGGATAACTAACTGCTTGAGTGTGATCAAATTCCTGGACCCACGTGATAGTGGAGAACCACTCCACTCTCTAGCCACATTGTGTACACACACACACACACACACACTAAATATTCAAACACCTTATTAGAAAAGAGCTTGTGGCCAGGCGTTGGTGGCGCACGCCTTTAATCCCAGCACTCGGGAGGCAGAGGCAGGCGGATCTCTGTGAGTTCGAGACCAGCCTGGTCTCCAGAGCGAGTGCCAGGACAGCCAAGGCTACACAGAGAAACCCTGTCTCGAAAAGACCTTGTGTTGAAGAAGAAAGACTTAATAATAAAATAAGAGAAAATCCTCCTTAGGGGGAGAACACTTGCTTTATAGGTGCCAGGACCCGAGTTCAAGTCCCCAGCACCACATAGCAAGGTGGGCATAATTGGGTGTGACTGTAACTCAGGTATAGCAGGGTGAGGACACGGAGACCCCAGCAAGCTTTCAGCCCAGGGAGGGACCCTGTCAAAAGTAAGAGAAATGGAGGAAGACATCTGCTGTCCATCCTACACTGTGAGGGTGAGCTCCTACCCAAATTCTAAGTCCGCATTGGGGCTGAGGACCTGGCCTAGAACCCCTCAGTGAGGGGCTGGGGTCGTGGTCAGGGTGGAGCCTTAGCCTAGAATTCCCCAGTGAGGAATGGGGGTGTGGTCATGGGTGGAGCTCACACATAGAATCCCCGGTGAGGCGATGGGGGCGTGGTCAGGGTGGAGTCCCTGCCTAGAATCCCCACTGAGGGGCTGAGGGCGTGGTCAGGGGTGGAGTCCCTGCCTAGAATCCCCACTGAGGAGCTGGGGGCGTGGTCAGGGTGGAGCCCAGGTCTGGTAAGATTCAGGCCCTGGATTCTATTGCCATCACTAAAGACATTCGCAAATAATTGTAAATGAGCGAGAAAAAAATAGCCGTAAGCAATTTCTGGAAGGATTTCAAAGATTCTGGTGAGAGTCAGCCTGAGGGCTGGGCAAAGCCTTGGACTGGGCTAATCTATTGTCACACTTAAATGCCATCTTGGGGTTTAAGCATTCCCCCAATTGCTCTGCGGCCCAACCAGGGTCACCTGCTGGGAAGGGATCCCCTTTAGGAATGATGCTGGCTCCAGCCTGACACAGGGCTTGTGGAACCAGCTCCTGTCCCCCACCGGAATCCTTCATTCAGAGGAAACGCCTTCCTCCACACTTAGTATGCACCATGTGAATGCATTTAGTGTCTTCTATTTTTAGACCCCCTCAGCTCTCCACCACAACTGGCTAGCCTTGGGGAGCTGTGGCCTGGGGTAGGAGGGAGCACAGGGCCGTGCCATTATAGCAGAAGTGGGGTTAGAGGCACCCAAGGCGCTGTAGGGCCAAGTGTCCAGACCCACGCTCACCAGCTGGGTCTCCTTCACCGCCATGCCTGCCGTCTAGCTTCTCACCCATGGTCTTAAAAGAAAGCTCACCATCCTAGCATTCCGCTGGTCTGTTCCCTCGGTCTAAAGAGCCCTTCTGAGTCTCTGGAACGCCTACTTCTGCAGAGCCCTGGTCCTCGGACCCAGCCTTATCCCCATCCCAGCTCCAGGTGCCCTGGTTCCGCGCTGCAGGTCCTGGACCCGCAGGCAGCGTGGAGGGGACGGTCTCGGAAGCCCCATGCTCTGAAGACCTGTCTCCGCAGCCCCCCACTCACCTCCACGAAATAAAAGCAAGGTAAGAGCGTCATGCTGTCCTTCGGCGTTTTATTCTTCACCTTCATAGCAATCATGGTGACGCGGGCGCTGCAGGCCGAGGTTTCAGGGGGACAAAAGGAGCGCTGGAGCCCAGAAGGTGCGCAGATGGACGCACCAGGCGGGG